TTTCTCTCCAAAATGTCACCCAAATAGAGCAGGGCTTCCTTGAAGCCTGCTTCTGCTGAGAATTCACGACACACACAGCCGGAGAGCTAGCATCTGGCTGGAAAAGCCTCACAACCTGCCATACGACTTCCTGCAACTCCTCCTGATTCATTCTCCCCCCGCGTACCCCCCAGCACAGCAGGTGCTCCAGTCTTTCTTTTCCTTAAGCTCTTTCCTTGGCTCTCCTTTCTTTCTCATTCCTCCTTTCTCTTCTGCTTTCCCAGAAGAGTCTGATTCATCGCTTTCAAGCTCTGTGGCTGGGAGCAAGTTGTTCAATCCGTCTCGGGCTCCCCCTCCCCCGCCCCCTTAAAATAGGGGTGATAATCATTCTGACCCCTCATAAGATTTTTTGTAGGATTAAATGAGATCATATATGGAAGGCATCTAGCACTGCCCCTGGCATATAGTAAATGCCCCATAAACACTGACAAATCTTTTTTTTTTTTTTTTTTTTTTTTAAGTAATCTCTACACCCGATGTGGGGCTTGTACCCAGGACCCGGAGATCAAGTGTTGCATGCTCTATTAACTGACACTGGCAATTCTTTATACACGTTTGTCTTTTACATTTCCTTTCACATTTCTGATACTTAAGGTCAGGGGAACCAAGAGTTCAGGTATACACTGAACTTTTGGAGGGTGGATTCTGGAACGGGCTGAAGCCCATTGGGGTGGGGAGGGGAGCTCAAGTCTTCTCTGGGAGACTTTCATTCATGCCCCAACAGGGGAAAGGCCCGAGCCTAAGCTTCCTGTCTCTCTGACTCTTCAGCCCCGGCAAGCTGTGCCATACCCACTCCAGCCCGGCCTCCCCAGCCCCCAGCACCAGGGGCAGCAAACGTTGAAAACTATTTCAATGATGGTGCATCATCCCTCCATCCCTTATACTCTTACTGGTCTCCCTGATTCCGCTCTTCCTGGTAACCCAGCCCAGGACTCTGACCTCCACCTCGTAAGGGTCTCCCCCACCCCCACGCCCACTTTCCCCAATTCTTCCCAGAACAGGAAGAATCTTTTTTAAAAGGTAAATCCCATCACATCATTCCCTTGCTTCAAAGCCTCCAAGGACTTCCCAGGGCATTTAGATTCCGAAATGCTTTATGGGACTTACAGGGCTTCCTCATCCCAGGGCTGCCTGTCCATCACTAGATCTCTTGCTGCTCACCCCCAACACACACACACACACACACACACACACACACACACACACACACACA